GGAACACTGTTCCACTTACAGCTGTGCAGTGTACAGCGTCCGCCGCCTGCCTGAGCCAGCAGCCCTGCTCTCACCCGCTCACCGTACAGACCTTTGGGACCCTTCTAGAGTCAAAGTGTCACGGGGCACCCGGTCTTTCTTTTTTTCTAATTTTTGAGACAAGGTCTTGTTATGTAGCCCAGGCTGGCCTCATACTCAGGATGATCTTCCTGCCTGCTGAGTGCGGGGATTACTTTGGTGTTTTACAAATAGATTTCCTTTATTACAGTGAAGCCTGCGTGTCTGTCTGGGCTTTCCTACACTGTCACAAGAACCCTGCATTGCTTCCCTCGCCCCGCCCCACCTCGGTTTCCTGTTCTGAAGTCCCACGGACCCACAGTCCACTCCAGTCTGAAAATACCAAGCGAGGCGCTCCAGAAGAAACAGTCTGTGGGTTTTAGGTGCAGTGCATGAGTATGTGACAGAATTCCTTCCTCCGCTGTGCAGTCCTTGCTCTGCTTCGCTCTGTTCATCTCCACCTGTCCCCAGACTCTAGCTTTCTCATACGTATGTATATTGGGAAGAGCACACGAGGTACAGGAGGAGGCTCCACTGCAGGTCACTAATGGCTAATGAGGCACTACTGCGTGTTCCCCAGACCTGTAACTATTAGAAGGCACTTGTCATTAGTACTTTAGGTTAATGATGACAGAAAGCCCACTTTCCAGTGGCTCCCATAAAAGGGGAGTATTGGCTGATGAATCAGGCTTCAGGTGTAGCTGGCTCCAGCAGTGACCCAGGAGTCAGCCTCCTTTTGTGCTCTCATTCCGGCTTCCCTTGCTTGGCCTGTCTGCAGCAGGCTCTGTCCTCCCCGGAAAGCTCCAGCTGATGTCTCTCAGGGGAGGCCTGAGTTTAAGCTGGAAGCTTCTCTCTCCATGCCCGAACCACCTATCCTGGCCCAAGGTGAGACTAGGGGGAGACTTCCTGTAGGAAAGGTCAGCGGGGCAGGGTGAGGCAGCACTGCAGGGGACCATGCCACAACCCGTCTTCCGGGAGGAGACTTGGCTTTTCCCACGCGTGCACCCACAACAGGCCAGCTGTGGTGGAGACGCTGTAGCTCAGGGTGAGGGCTGCCCTGGCAGCGCCGTGACTTCTGCCATCTGCCATCCAGTAGGAGAGGGCAGAGTGTTTGCCCTCTCTGCCTCAGTTCCATACAGTTTCTCTCTGCTCCCTGCACACCGCGTGGGCTCGGGGGCCAGGATGCCACACTGCTGCCAGAAGGTCCTCCCTCCTGCTGTGGGTGTGTCCATGGGGTGCGTGCCACCCGATGCAGCTGCCAGAGCTCTGTGACAGGCCATGCTTGGCTCCCCTGCGGTGAACAGCGACAGCAGGAGCAGCGACTGATGCCAGACCTGTGGCTCTAGGTCTCCGCTACCAGCACTGCCACAAAACACAAGATACAGCTCCTAAGGGCAGGGGCATCTCAGGGACCCTGCGCTGCTGTTCAGACACCTTGGTGACATTTGCTGCACTGCAGAAGGGTTGTCTCCAAGCTCCAGGAGCCCACGCACATTTCCAAAGATAATCACTTCTGCTTTTCACACGGAGCGGAGGGCAGGCTGAGTCGGGAGGGCCACACACTGACCCTGTGACCCAGCCCCAGCCCTGTGACTGCAAAGCCTGTGATTTTGGGAGAGTCTGTGGTTGAGGGACTCCATGACTCAGTCTTCCAAAAGGAACGTAGATGGGGGAAACCGTTCTAGAAAAAGCTGTGCAATGTGGTTCCTCTTATGTGAAGAGGAATGCTGTGTGTCACTGTTTATGTCACTTGGGCTCCCCTATTTGTGCGGAAGAACTGCTCAGGGAGGTTGCTCAGGAGTCAGGAGCTCACCTTGGGACAGGAGGCAGGGTTGGTAGGGGGTGTCACAGAACAGGGGACCCTGAGGTCCCCAACATCTCCATGTCTTATTCTCATCCTCACACCTTTGGGCATATTTCAAGTCTTTCTTTTACATGTCATAGTAAGTGCCATTTTCAGGGTCCATGTAATACAATCTAGCTTCTAGAGGCCTGGGTATGTGGCTATGTGCGGGGAGAAAGTGCCGGCAGGGTGTGCTCCAGACTGATGACTACAGCCACCTCTGCAGGAATGAGAGACTCCGGAGGTGATTGAGGAGGCTTCTTTTGTTTTGGGAAAGTATGTGCTATTTGTGCAATTCATATTTTATTTCTTCAAAATGCACAGCATCTGCTGGATCCCGGAAGGGTTTGTGCTGAGGTCTGCAGAGATGGAATAGAGAAGGCCCCGTCACTGGAAGGGCGGGGCTCACTTTCGCCCCAGTAAAGACGCCCCTTTTAGGGCTCCATGACCCCTGCTGGGGAGACCTGTGCTTCTAAAATTGAGAAGCTGCTGCAGGTGGCAGGTGTGATGGATTTCCTGGAGGCCATCAGCCTCCAGGCTGGAATTTTCCAGTTGAGAGGGGAGTCCTGCCTGGGAAGTATTTCCAGAACCACCCCCTGGCAGCTGCCGCCTCCTCCCAGGCTTCAGTGAGGAGGCAGAGGCAGAGGCATTTCCACAAACTCCAGCAAAGTGATTCAGGGGTGCAGGAGCTATCTACATGCAGGGACCCCACACCCCAGTGCCCAGCCCAGAGCCAAGTGAGTAGGTGGGTAACCCTGTGCCTCTAGCCTCTGTCAAGAACAGCAACCCTAAGGCCAACTAAAACTCTTTCATGAGCTGGGCGTACACTGCCACACACCAGAACAAGAAATTCATCCTGAATGCAGGGTCTCACTTTGCAGTCCATCCTGGCCTTAAACTTACTATGTAGTCTAAGCTGGCCTCAAACTCCCAGTGATCCTCCTGCCTCAGCCTCCCAAGTGCTGGAAACAAGTCTTTTCTACTAGACCTGCCCATTCATGTTGATTTGAAGTAACAGTGAAGTACAGAAGAAATAAAAGTCAGGTCAAAGGGCAAGGTGCCTGCAAAACAACGGATTTACAAACAGATACCATGTGACCCTAGGAACAAAGGAAAAAGCCCAGGAAAGTGAAGCTGAGGTGCCCGATTCTCCTTCTGAGTCTGTTTCCTCTTCTGTCAGTTGAGAATGAGAAAAGAAGCCCCTCTTGCATCTTGGCTGAGTTAGCTGGACCTGCCTCCTCGAGTGCTCCTCGGGACCCAGCAGCAGCAACTCTGCTAGTACTGTGCCGTGTTCTTGGGTCCTTGCGGAAGTGTCGTGCAGCCCCAGACGCCAGCCTGACTCCATGGACAGTGCCGGATCAGCGCTCCTAGAGTCCTCCCAGTGCCTTGCCTGGGCCACCTGGTTGCCTCCACCGGAACAGTGCCCAATTCGAGGATGCAGCCAGGAGATCAGCCCCGCCTGCCTCCGTTCCTCTCTGCTGTGTGCCCTCGGAAACCACTCAGCGTCTCTGAGGTCCTTCTCCTGCCCTGACTTGCTGGGCCTGGGGTCAGGAGGGGACAGAAGGAAGCGTGTGAGCCTCTCCCTCCTGCTTCCTTGCCCTCAGGTTTATTCTTCCTCACAAGGCAGCTGTGAGGAGCAGGACTCAGCCTGCAGTGCTGCAGCCCAGCTGTGGGCCTCGGGCCAGCCGCGGGCTGAGTCGCCATGGGGGCGATGACACCGTGGTGATGGTGGTAATGAGTAGAAAATGATCCCCGAAGGCCTGCGGGTGGGTTTGAGATTCCAGAATTACAGTTTACAGATGGGAAACAGAACAGACTGATTAGGTAGTGAGAGAGAAAAGGGAAACCTGTGTAGAGGAAGGGGCTCTGGGTGGGTGGGGGTGACTGAGGGCTGGCTGTTTTGGCGTCATTCAGATCCCCGGGCAAGCCTGCCCCAGGGCCTTAGCCTGGCTCCTCCACCCAGAATGCTTCTCTTCTGTAGTTTGGTGTCTGGCTTTGGGTGTTTTTGTTCTCTCTCTCTCTCTCTCTTCCCCCTCTCTCCCTCCCTTCCTGCTCTTCTGCTTTATTTGTATTCTGATCCTATGACCATGCAAAATTAAGTACTAGAGCCAAGTATCGTGGTACATGCCTGTAATTCTCAGCACTCTGGGAGGCTGAGGCGGGAGGAAGGAAGGCATGGTGATTTAGCAAGCTCTTGTTTTAAAAGAAGGTGTTTATTTTTATTTTTTATGGTTTCGTGAGATAGGGTCCCGCTATGTAATTCAGGCTGGCCTTAACTCACTGTGTGGCCCGCAGCAACCCTCCTGCCTCTGCCTTCTGTGTGCTGAGATTTCAGGTGTGTGCCACCATGCCTGGCTCTTGAAGTCTGTTTTTAAAAGGGCTGGGCATGTAGCTCGGTGAGAAGGCTCTGGGTTCGACCCCCAGCACTCTAAGGGATCTCCTTAGAGTAAAGCCCACCTTAGCCACTGTGTGCTGCGGTCCACAGGCGGCCTTGGCTGCTGGAAGGTGGGCAGCAGGAAGTCATGAGGGAGGGCGGAGGAGGGAGGAGGCACCACAGATAACCCAGAAACTCTGCCTGGCCCCTGCCCAACTTCCTTTAGACCATGAGTGACAATCACTGTGGTGTGGCATGCAGCCACTGTGTGCTGCAAGCCCTCCTGGGCCCTGTGACATCGCTGTCACCCATTTTCGGGCAGCACCATTTAGGCTCCCAGGAGGCAAGCAGCATGCCAGTGTCTTAAGTGGCAGAGCTCTTCTTGGCTCCAGGCTTGAGCTCCAGGAGCAGGCTGGCTCCTAATGTTTCCGTGTCCCCCTTGGAAGGCAGTTGTCATCACTGCAGTCCCCAGGCGGTGTGTGCATTTTAGCAACAGATTTCCAGGTTTCCAGTGCCGGCTGGAAAAGGCTGCTTTGCTGCTATGCCCGGCCCTCTGCACCGCCCGCCTTTTGTACAGCTCTGCAGTGAGAGCGCCGCGGGGCGGCAGCACCTGGTGATGCAGTTGCCATGGCGACGACTGCCTCGGTGATTGGCCAGCGCAGTTGCGGTCCATCACTCCTTGGGAGCTGGGTGGTGGAGAGGTTCCTCCTCTCCTGCCCCTCCTCCGGATGCTGCTGGAGCAAACCCCGCGCAGACTACCCCCAGCCCTCCCTTCCTCTCCGAGCCTGACACCCCGGATGTGTGGGAGGGAAACATCCCGAGGAGGTCCCAGGTATCAGCAAGCCAGACACCCCTGCCCAACCCGGCGACCATGGTGACTGGATGTCTTCTCAGGCTCCTGGGCACAGTGTAGGGACCAGCGTGCTGAGGACCCTTCCGGAGCCTGCTACTGCCGCCCTTCCTCCGCTCCCGCCCCAGCCTCTTTGGATGCGCCTGCCACCCCCGGGAATGTGACTCGCCTTTCGATTTAATTTTATTCTCTTCCGCATCTCTCTTGGGCATCCTGCTCCTCCTCTTAACCACGTTGAGCTTCTTCAGCCAGAGAGGAAGCGAGAGAGCAGGGGAGACGAGACTCAGACAGAATGGCTTGCCGAAGACGCTATTTGTGAGTATTTATGGCAGGGTTGTGCCCGAAGCCCAAGGCTGGGGGGCCGAGCTGTGTGTAGCTGGAGTGAGGGGCTCAGTGAAAGGAGTGCGCGTGGTTTGCAGAGGGTGCCTCTGTCTGTGCCCTGCGGCAGGGATGTTTGTTGGTGTGATGCTGAGAAAAAGGCTGTTAGTCAGCAAGTCTTCATCAGACTGTGAGATTCACGGCGTGGAGGGTAGGTGTCCCTCTCTCAGGTCCACATGCGGTCCTCAGAGCCACTACTGTGTTTGGCCTTTGGCACAGCCCACAGTATGCCCATCTGGGAAAAGCCTTGGGGGCCCAGCACACTGATGGCTAACACTGCAGCCATGCCGGATGGAAGGGTGGCAGCCAGGCTGAGGCTATGTGATGGTGCTGCAGCTTCCTGAGCAGTGTGGCATCTGTGTCCAGCTGTGGTCCCCAGGTGATCCATGGGCAGGTCTGAAGCAGAGTTCTTGTCAGCTGGGCCCAATGCCAGGAGAAGCCCGTAAAGTCTCTGTGAGGCAGTGACATCACAAGGCCTGAGTATTTATGGAAACCGAAGCCCATGCTTGATTAAGCCAGGCTTCCCAGGGGGCAGTGGGACTCAAATGCCAGTGCTCTGGCAGCTCTCTGGACTCTGCACTGTGCTAGTCAGGCGTGAGCAACCTTCACCTGCCTTCAGGACCCTAGACCATCAGGTTGAGGCCCAGCTTGGGTCTCCCTCTGCATGGGCACTTACCCAGCCCAGGGTGGTGGGCTGCTGTTCAGTGATCTCAGGTTTCATGAGGTTAGAGAACAGGGCTGGATCTGCTTGGCTTGGACTAGGAGGGAGAGGCCCTTCAGGGGGCTCTGGGGGGCTCCCCACTTACCCTTATACCAAGGTGAGCAGCCTCCTCCCTCCATGGAGGGCGGTCCTCATGCTAATGGAGCACGGAGAATGTAAACATAGCCTCGCAGGTTGCCTCTCTGCGCAGTTCCCCAGCAGGCTGTCCACCCACAGGCTCTTGGCGGCAATGAAAGGCCATGGTGAGGCCTCTGGATCTCAGGTTGGCCTTGATACCCAGTTTCCTTTCTTGTGGAAAAGCCCACAGGTTGGTTTGTTGATGTGAACCGTGTGTGCTGGAGTTCTTGCTCCCCGTGGCAAGGCCCTGGCTGTATTTTTAGAAGCATAGTATGTCCTTGCCGGGGTTGGCACCTCTGTCTCCAGCTCTGGGTAGGATCTGTCTTCCAGAGAAACTGTGTGTCACCTGCCAGGGCCCAGGAGCTTGATGTCAGAGAAATTCTTGGCTTCCAGGTGCTGCTAAACCCTGGGAATAGGTAAGGTGTCACCAGGATGACTTGGGATGATCTCCACAGAGAGTAACAGTCCCCACTCTGTTTTGGTTCTCATAAAAGCCTGGTCTGGACAGATACAAAGATTCTGTGTTAGAGATGGGGAAACTGAGGCTTGGCAAGTCTCCCCTGGAACCTCAGAGTGTGCTACCTGAAGGCAGGGGTATGGATTTTAGTGCAGAGTCTGTCTGTGCAGAAATCACTTGTGAGCTTTACCAAATATCCAACCTGGGTTGGGTTGGACACCAGGGCTGCTGGGGCACCAGGTCTGTGTAACTGGGGCGGGAAGTGGCATCAAGATCCGCTTGGTCCCCCGGGGGACGACGGTAGTGGACGTCTGATTGCATTTGGGGTTCTGTGGAGGCAGCTGCTCGCTGTGGCAGCATCATGAGGCAACCCTAGGTCCAGTTTGCCAGGAGCACAGTTTTTAGATTCCACTGCCCAGGTCTGAGGAGGCCTGGAAACTTGTCTTTGGACACACAGAGTCTGGGGGCGGAGGGGTTGTAGCCAAGTGAACTAAGCCTGTCTCCCCTGCTGGCCTGGGATAGACTGGGCCTGCTGGGGGTTGCGCTTTCCGTCTCCCCTCCCTGAGGGTCTTTGCAGCATTCTCCAGCCCTCAAGCTCCCCATCTGCGGACTGTGACATCGGGGCCACCTCCTTCCGCAATGCCGCCCTCGAAACAGACTAGCAGGGATGGGCTCTGCTGTCGCAGAAGGACATGAGGCCCAGAGCGGGCCTTGTTGGGCTCACCCGCAGGGTACTTGACCCACTAGTCTGTCCCTGGGCCGGGAGCAGGGCATGGCAGCGCTGTGGCTAGCCACAGAATCGCCCTTCCCTTCCATTCGCTCCCTTCCCCAGAACTGAACCTCTCTATAACTGAGCAACAGCCCCATCCTTTTTTAATTTTTAATCTGAGACAAGGTCTCACTAAGTTGCTCAAATTGGCTTTAAACTTTCGAACAGTCCTCCCCACTGCTGTGAAATGTCGCGTTGTTGGTTGCATTTTACAAGCAAAGAAACTGAAGCTCAGAGAGGGGAAAGAACTTGCCAAGGGTCACACAGCTCCTTCTGCTGCATGCTTGGCAGTGTTGTCCTTCCTGCAACATGCCACGCCCAGACCCGGATGGGCTTGCTCCAGTGTCCCTGTGAGAGGCATGGCCAGGTGTCCTTTGGGCGGGAAGAGCCCTGTGGGGAGGCTCATGCACCCTCTGTCCCCACCTTCCTGTGTCTCTGTCCCCTCTGCCTTCTGTCATGGATCTAGACTCTGCCACTGAGGGGAGGAGGATCATGGCTGGGAACTCAGTCGCTCAGGGAGGTGACACAGTGCAAGAGATAAAAGATGATCGTGAAAGCAGGAAGCTTCTTCATCAAACAGGCAGAAACCGTGAAGCCTCTGGAGTCCATTCCTTGGTAACAAGCAAGGTCACCGCTCTAGCCACAGCTTAATGAAGAGCGTCTCAGTGACAGTCAGGTCCTCTTTAGTGACCACTGTAGGACCATGCTGGCATCCTGATCACTGCCTGGCAGTGAACTTGGAGAGCTCTCTGTTCGTGGCTCCTCGGGCTCAGACCCAGGAAGTGGGGCTGGAGAGGGTGTTGTCTTACATCCCCACACGGGCCATTCACCCACGCGACCGTTTGTTCCTTCACGGCCTGGACCTGCCCTGGCCCTGCCTCCCTCCTGCAGGCTGGACACTGACCACCGAGCACCAAGTTCCAGACCCACCCAGCCTTCTCCACTCAGCACACTGTCCTACCTGCTGCTGTGGGTTTGCCTGTCCCAAAGTGGAGGTGTTGACTGTTATCCCTACAACTGCCAGCCTGTAGTGAGTATTTAGGAAATCTGTGTCAAATGAGTGAATTACAAGTGGGGTGCTGGGCACTGCCCTAAACAGGGGTACAAAGCCAAGTAAGAAATAGTTTCTGCATTCTGGGAACCGGAAGGCTGGTAGGGGAGACGGATGTTATAGCACCAACACCAGGTGCCCAGGGCTGGGTGAAAGATTTGCCCAGAAGCAGAGAGAGGGTTACTATCATCACCTGAATTTTGGGGACAGGAACTGAGATTGTACCAGTAACCAGGGACAGAGACAGAGAGACCTAATGGTTCAGCTTGAAACCCACTGTGATGCTGTGAGTCTGCAGGCCCCTGTGCAAGTCCCTCAGCCCCTCCCAGTGTGAGAGGCGCGTCTGAGAGATGGAGCCAGGGCAGGCACAGACCCAGGCCAGGGTAGTGTAGATGTCAGAGGAAGGGCTGTGGGGACCGGGAGCTGGGGGGTGAGGGCTGAATTTACATCCTGGCTGCAGGGGGAGGTAGGGCAGGGAGCCTAGCAAGGAGGTCTGGGAGTGGCCTCAGCTGCCCTCCCCTGACCAAGGCATTGCCCAGAAGAAGAGCTCCACCCCCAGGGGCATGTGCATATGGGAACTCACAGCCTCAGGCTGGTGGAGTGGCTCAGGGCACTGTCCCTACAGTGTGCTGTGGCTGCCACCTTAGCAGGGACTCGTAAGGACGGTGTGAATCTCTCTCCCCTCTGCAGGCTCAGCAGCCTCAGGCTCCCTTCTGACTCCACACAAAATAGTAACAACAGGTGGGGAAACTGAGGTCCAGGCTTCCTGGTCAAGTACATCTCGGCTGTGACAGCCAGCAGTCCCTCCCCCTGTGCAAACCACGTGATGGCTGTTGAGCATGTTGGGCTGTTTTCTGGGCACCTGACTCATCTCTGCCCTTTTCAGCCCCAGGCCATTGGACAGCATTTAGGTGTAACTCAGAGGCTGAGAGGCACAGGAAGGTCGCCCTGCATGTGTTCAGCAGGGACTCACTGACACCTTCGATAGGCTCTGCCCTGGGGTCCGTGCTGGGTGCTGGGAGCAAGTGAGTGGGTGCCTGTGTCATGGAGTAGTGCAAGGGACAGAGCACAGAGAAATAGAGAGGACAGAGAGCCTGTTTGGGGTGGTAGAGAGAGACATGTAGGGCCAGTCTGGAGGGCTTCCTGGAGGAGGTGACATTTGCGCTGAGCTCACCATGAAGAGAATAAACTGGCCATAAGTTTGGGAGGTGTCCAGGCTCTGGGCAAAGCAGAGGCCAAGGTCCTGGGAGGGCAGGGTTAGGCAGGAGGCGGAGACAGATGTGGTTGAGGCAGGAGCTGGGAGGCGCAAGATTAAAAACATAAAGAGTGAGGGTCCAAGAGCTGGGGTCTTCCTGGTCCCCCCACGAGGGACCTGCACACCCCATGGTCACCTCTCTGCCTCTGCCCAGTGAGGCCCAAGCCCAGGGCTGTTTCCTGTTGGACTTGCTGCAGTGCATGGGGCCTGGCATGGTGCTAGGTTAGAGACTGTCTGGAGTGAATCTTCAGAGAGAAGGTGCCACCTCCTTCCAGCCAAGAATGTGAGGACAGGTCCCTGTGGACTCCCCTGGGCCTCTGAAGGAACCAAGGCCAAGGCTGCTGCCCTGAGCACCATCCTCTGTTGCCCAGAGGATGGCTGTGAGTGCGGGTGCCCAGCTCAGCCTCCTCCTCCATGGCATGGGCTGGTTCTCTACCTCCCAGCCCTCAAAGGCCAGCATCTGCCCTGCTCCATCCCCACTACTCCTGATCCCTCGAGACCGGGCTCCCCAGTCTCCAAGTTTGCTCTTCTAGAGGCCGTGCTCGTCAAATCCTCCCAGCTGTGCTG